CGCGTGGGGGCTCGTCGCGGGGCTGGACGCCACGGCCGCCGCCTTGTCGCCCAGCGCCTGCGGGGCGTCGTGGACGCGTCACGGACGCGTCGCGGGCGGTGGGCGAGCGTGGCCGCCCCTCGTCACCGCGCGCCGAGAAGAGGCGGGCGATCACTCGCTTCATCAGCGCGTCGACGAGCCAGTTTGGGCACGCGTCGCCCGGGTCGTCCACGCCGAGCTGCAGCGTCATCTTGCAGCCCGCGCCGCCGCACGGCTCGACAAAGAACTGCAGCGCGGTCACGTCGGTGCGCCACGAGTAGCGGCCTAGGAAGTGTCTCGGAAGTGTCTCGGAAGTGTCTCGGAAGTGCCAAAGGAAGTGGCCACGAGTAGCGGCCGGGCGGCTTTGGCGGGAAGCGGACGTCCGCCCACTCGGACTGCTTCGGCGAGCGGCCGCAGACGAGGAGGCCTCCGTGCTCCTGCGGGTGCCGGGTCGGGGGCGGGTCGGGGGCGGGTCGGGGGCGGGGGCGGGTCGCGGAAGGGTCGCGGAAGGGTCGCGGAAGGGTCGCGGAAGGGTCGCGGAAGGGTCGCGGAAGGGTCGCGGAAGGGTCGCGGAAAGGTCGCGGAAGGGTCGCGGAAGGGTCGCGGAAGGGTCGCGGAAGGGTCGCGGAAGGGTCGCGGAAGGGTCGCGGAAGGAGCGGCGGTGTGGGCGGGCGTGGAAGGGTCGCGGACGGGTCGCGGGTGTCGTGTCGGCCGGGCCATGGGCTGGCGGTGGACGCGCTTGGAGTCTCGGAGGCGTCTCGGAGGCGTCTCTTAGGTGTCTCGGAGGCGTCTCTTAGGTGTCTCGGAGGCGTCTCGGAGGTGTCTCGGAGGTGTCTCGGAGGCGTCTCTTAGGTGTCTCGGAGGCGTCTCGGAGGTGTCTCGGAGGTGTCTCGGAGGTGTCGCCCTCCTCGGAGACGTCCACCAGGAAGCCATGCAGCACGATGTCCTCGCGCAGCGCGACGGGGACCAGCGGGAACTCGTACCTAGAAGGGAGAGCTGGGCTGAGGAATCCGAGGGAGGGGGGTTGCGAGGGACAGAGGAGACGGCGAAAAAAAGGCGGTGGGCTGGGCGCCGCGCGCCTTCATCGTGGCAAGGTGGGGCTCTATGAGGCGCGGGTTCGATGAGGCGCGTGTGTGCAAGTACTTGGAGCGTACCGCTGCTCCACCCGGAAGAGGCCCTCGGCGCGTCCCACCTCCGCGAGCCGCTCGCTCTCGACACAGCACGGGTACCTGCGGGGGGGGGGGGCGGCGCGCGTGCGTGTGCGTGTGCGTGTCGGCTTCTCTTGTGGCTTCCGGCTTTTGCGTGCGTGTGGTGTGCGTGTGCGTGCGTGCGTGTGCGCTCTGTGTTTGTGTCTCCGCGTGTGCGCGCGTGTGTGTATGCGTGTGTGTATGCGTGCGTGCGCGTGTGTAGCCTCCGCGCGCCACGTCTTGAAGAGTTGCGACTCGCGCACGACCGCGCACGCGTCAACCGCCGGCACCGCCAGCTGCGCCACCGTCTTCGACCACATCAGCCCCGCCTCGCGCTTGAGGAAGGTGCTGCTCCGCGGCACTGCCGGAGACTCGCGCTCGGTCGACGCGACAAGCCGCCAGCCGGCGGCGCCACAGATGGAGGCGAGCGCCGCGCGCGCCTCGACGCAGCGCTGGAGCACCGTCGCGGCCGGGAGGCTCGCCGGCAGCTGGCTGAGCGCGCGGGCGGACGCGCGGGCGGGAGCGCCGCCGCTCACGGCCGTGGCCTGAAGGCGCTGGAGCAGCGGCTCTGCGACGAGGTAGCGGTCGTCCTCGAGGAGGCGCTGCACGGCGGACGCTGTCTCGGCGACCTCGCTCGCCCGCTGAAAGGGCGCGGCGGTGGCGACGGCGGCGGCGGCGGTGGCGCTTTCGACCACCTTGAGCACCTCAGAATCAGGCTGCTTTGCCGACGCAACACTGCTTCGGGAGCGCCGCGGTGGCCCGAATGCGGGAGCGAGGCCGAGGCACACGATCAGCACGATCGCGGGCGCCAGGGCTGTCGCTAGCCACACCGCGGCAACGGGCAGCGTGGATGAGACCGCCGCCTCGACGGAGGACGCCTCGATGTGGATCATTCGTAAGGCAAGAAGGCGGAATCGGCGGAAAATTCGTTTGGGGGGGAGAGGGGGTCCTGACCGCCCAAGGCCAGCCCTCGACACGGGTGGGTGGGATGGTGGTCCCTCGGGCCTCGGCGCGAAAGGCCGGGGGCCACCCCGGGCCGCCCGCCCGGGGACGCGCCTGCTGGTGCGGGTGCGGCGACCGGCGCGGGTGCCGCGCCCGCCGCTCGCCAGGCAATCCAACTTCGCCGCCGCGCTCTAGACGAGCACCGGCCGGTGCTGGCGTGGAGTTAGGTGTATTTGCGTGGAAGATGGCGGCTTCGCGCGTTCAGGTGTGGGTGTCTGTAGCCTCCAAGTCCTGAAGCCTACGCCTATGGCTTTAGCAGTAAGGCGGCCGAATCAGCAGGCGGGGGAGACACAAAACCACACCCCCAAAAAGTCCAACCCTCTCTCACGGTCACGATGCCAACCTCGACCATGCGAGCGAAGAGCCCGGCCAGGAGTCGAGCGAAGAGCCCCGCGCGCGGCGGCGGCCGCAAGGCGACCGGCGAGCCGTCGCGGAAGCGGCGCAAGGCGGCCGGCCGGCCGGGGCCGGAGGGGAGCGACGAGGACGAGGCCGAGGACGAGCAGTTGCTGCCGACGGAGCTGACACGTAAGATCATCGCGCAGGCGCGCGAGCAGCAGGCGGAGGTGGACGCGGAGGAGCGGGCGGCGCACAGCGGGGCAGCCAGGTCCGCGGGCAGCCTCCGCCGCGGCGGCGGCAGCGACGACGACGACGAGGCGGGTGACACCGCCGAGGCGGAGGAGGAGGAGGAGCCCATTGCGGGCGACTTTTACGAGGACGTGGACGACCTGGAGCTAGACGAGCAGGACGAGCGCGCGCTGAGCCTCTTCATGGGGGGCGCACCGCGCGCTCGCAACCTCGCCGACATCATCATGGAGCGGCTCGCTGCTGCAGAGGCGGCGGGCGGCGGCGGCGGCGAGGGCGGCGGCGAGGGCGGCGGCGGCTGGGGCGGCGCGGGCCCGGCGGACGCGCCGATGCCGCAGCTGCCGGACAAGGTGCTGGAGGTGTACCGCGGTGTCGGGCTGCTGCTCAAGACGTACCGCTCGGGCAAGCTGCCAAAGGCCTTCAAGATAGTGCCGCGGCTGGCCAACTGGGAGGAGGTGCTCTACGTGACCGAGCCGCACCTATGGTCGCCGGTGGCGACGCGCGAGGCGACCAAGCTCTTCGCCTCCAACATGAACGCGCGCATGGCGCAGCGCTTCTTCAACACGGTGCTGCTGCCGGCGGTGCAGGACGACGTGCGCGAGCACGGCAAGCTCAACTTCCACCTCTACCTCGCGGTCAAGAAGGCGCTGTACAAGCCCGCCGCCTTCTTCAAGGGCATCCTGCTGCCGCTCGGAGAGGAGGGCGGCTGCGCGCTGCGCGAGGCCCTCATCGTCTCGTCGGTGCTCGCAAAGGTGTCGGTGCCGATGCTGCACTCGGCCGTCGCGATCCTCAAGCTGTCCGAGATGCCGTACTCGCCCGCGAACGCGCTCTTCCTGCGGACGCTGCTGCTCAAAAAGTACGCGCTGCCGTACCGCGTCGTGGACGCGCTGGTCGCCTACTTCGTCTCCTTCGCGGCCGACTCGTCCGTGCCCACGCTGCTCTGGCAGCAGTGCCTGCTCGCCTTTGCGCAGCACTACAAGACCGAGGTGACCGCCGAGCAGAAGGAGGCGCTGCGCGACCTGCTGCGCGCGCAGCCGCACCCAAAGGTGACGCCCGAGATCCGGCGCGAGCTCTTCTCCAGCCGCAGCCGCGGCGACCCGTACCTCGCGCCGATGGCGGCCGACGCCGCCGATGCTCCGATGGACTTGCTCGGCTGAGCGAAGGGCCAGAGCGGTCATAAACTTGAAACGCTCGGACCGTTCTCCGTTGCGCGGAGGTCCGGAGGTCGTAAAGACTAAAATGTGTGGTTAAAAAGTCTGAGAAAACTGCGGAGTAGAGGAAAAATTGCGTGGCGGCAGTGGTGGCTCGCCGCCCCGCCCCGCCCCGGCGAGGACCGACCACCGACGTACGCGCAGCAAAGGCTCTCCACCCTCAACATCCGCGATGCCCCTTGGGCTGCCGCCGCTGCTGGCCCGCCTCGCTTCCGCGCCTGCTCGCGGCCGGCTTCGCTTCGCGCCTCTCGATGCCTCTCATCGTTCGCAGCTGCAGCTCGTTGCGGGAAAGTGGCACTCCCGCCTCTTCGTCCGAGTCGGAGTGGAGCCTCTCCGCACCGAGCACCATGGTCGACGTCACCGCCTTTGCAGACGGCCCGCCGCGTGGAGCGCCGGCGCTCGCGTCCAGAGCGGCGGGGCCGAGCGTCTCGTTTGCCGCGTGCTCAATCATCCCCATGAACAGCATCAGGGAGTTTTCGTCGCAGCCGCCAATCTTGTTGAGGTCCCTGTCGCTGCAGGTCCTGCCCACGAGTCGGTGCGCAATCTTGCAGATCGAGCTGATGGCGCCGCTGAGCTTGCGGCTCGACTCCGACAGCTGCTCCGCCTTGGCCTCGCCCTCGGCGGCCTGGTCGGACAGCTCCGTCACCAGCCGCCTGCGCTGTGAGCTTGCGCCGCGATCGGCGCCGCGGAAGCTCTCCGCCTCGCCGTGCAGCGCGGCAACCGCCTCCTCGCTCCTCTCCACCTCGGCCGCGAGGGCGTTCAGGTAGTTGTACGCCTTGAAGTTGGCGTCCTCTTTGGCGATGAAGGCCTCCACCAACGCGTCAATGTCCGAGCTGCCGGTCGCGCTGCGAATCTGCGAGAACGCCTCCTCGTACGGCTCGATGCGACCCACGCCTATGGGGCGAAGCTCGCCGACGTGCAGTCCTTCCGGCTCGAGAGAGGGCGGGGGAGCACGAGGCGGGCTGCGCTCGCCAGACTTGCCAGCCCCCGCCGAGCTTCTTCTGCCTGCGGGCTCGCCGCCAGTGCCCGGCTCCCCGGGCGCGGCCCCTTGCCGTTCTCCCGGGAAGCTGCTCCGTGCGAGACGCTCCGCTTGCTGGCGGTCCTCTTCCATCTGCGCTAGGGCCGGGGCGCCGTGCGGTCATGGACAGGGGACGGGCGGGGGGCGGGCCACGACAGCGGCTTGGGGCGCGCTCCGATAGCGCGCCTGCAGCCCCATCTTCTTCCACTGCGCTTCAAAGTCAAGCTGCTCACGCTCCGCGATGAGTCGAAGCGAGGCGGCGCTGCCATGCGCCTTATCGCGCGCCTCAAAGGCGGCATTGGCCGCTTCAATTATGTCGGCCATCCGCCGCTTCCGCTCGGCCAGCTCGTTCTGCATCCGCCTGTGCACCCCGTCAAAGACGACTCGCTCGCGCCGTAGGTCGTCAATCTGCGCCCGCAGCTCCTTGTTGGCGGTGATCGCCTCGTTGAACTTGATCAGAGATTGGTGCAACCTGCGCTCGAGCGCCTGTACGCGGGGGTGGTTGCACGAGTGGTGGTGTCTGCCGCCGCGGGCCGCGAGTCGCGGCGTCTCAGCCAGCGCGAACATGCGCGCACCTTGATGCACTTGTCCGTGGACATGGTGTGCTCGGCCGGTGCGTTGTGTCCACCCATCTCCTTGCGCTCCTGCAGCGAACGGTCACGGAGAGACTTGAGCCGGGCGTCAAGCTTCTCTCCCCGCTGCTTCTCCGCGTCGATCTGCCTCCCCACCTCCTTGATCAGGTCCCGCACCTGCGTCTCCTTGACGGAGGCCACCGCAGTTTCGCTCGCCGACGCGGCGCGCGCCTCCAGAGAGAGCTCCGCCTTGAGAGATTGGCTCTCACGGCGCAGCTTCTCGTTTTGCAGCTTTTGTTTGCGCAGCACGGCCTCCACCTCCTCCGCGTACGACTTGCGGTCGCACTCCATGATTCGGTACTTGCGCTGCAGCTCCTCGAGCTGCGCAGCGATGCCCGTGGCGGGTCGGGCGGCCATATCTCTGTAACGTAATGCCCCCCTGGCTCCTGGTAAGAATTTCAATGTATGTGGCTCTTACGTAATTTCACAACGAAAGGCTCTCGCACACGCACGATTCACACGACAGACATCGAGTTTCCGCGAGAGGAACCGGAGGCAAACCCGCCGCGACCCGAACCACCTGTGTTCCAACGTTTTGAGGGAGAGATTTTTAGCAATACCACGCTTTGCGGGGTATGGTATGGTACCATCGGCCAACCCAGCTCAAGACCATACCCCCCCCGCCTGCTGGCAGACCTGCTTGGGGGTATGGTAGGGCTAGTCTTGGGCGGTCAGGACCATACCCCCACCCGTACCATAGTCCATACCATACCCCGGAAAAAGTTGGAACCCTGGCTGGGGTCTGGGTTCCGGCTCCTACCCGGATAGGGGGTCTGATCCCACTGACTCGCGCCAAAAACCCCTACCTACCTACCTACTGCGGGCGCCAACCGCCAGGCTCCGTGCCCCACCTACCTACCTATTCCCAGGCCGCTCAGCGAACGAAGCGAAAAACACCCGTTGCGCCCTCTGTGAATAGGCTCCCAGCGCCCGCCGCACCCGTCTCGGCTGGCGTCCCAACCGCAGGCGACTCGTCTGGCATGGCCCCGTTCGCGGCTAAAACGCGCCGTCTCCCGCCCGTGCGAGCGATACCTGTTCCCCGCTGGCGCGACCCCGCGCCGGCCAGCGGAGCCATTGCCCGCTCGGTCACCACCCCCGCCGGCGCGACGCGATCCGATCGACGCCGCCACCGACGGGGCCGCCGGCACGGAATGCATTCTCCGTCGTTGCCGGTCGGAGTGTTGGTCGGGACATGGGCGACGCGACCAATGGCGCTGCATTCATGCAGCGAAAGGGAGAACTAGATCCCTACTCGAGTAGGAGCCGGAACCCTGTGTATCGCGCGCCTTGCGGGGGGGGCGCGGAAAAGAGGAACCTCTTAGCGCCATCGCCACGGTGCTGCATGCAGCGCCGGGCGACGACGGCTTACCGCCTCCCGGTCCCCCTCAACCCAGTCGGCCCGGAGACCTGGGACTCGACGCCATGCCGTGTCGCGTGATTCTGCTGATCGTTCTGCTTGGACTTGGCGCAGCAGCGGCGCAAGAGCCAACCGCGGACGGAGATACCAACGGCGACGGCGTCGTTGATGCGGCCGAGGAGAGGGCCCAGCAGCAGCTGCATGACTCGCTCGTGCAAGCGGCGGCGCTGATGGAGCACGGCAGCGCCACCGCCAAGGAGGCGCGTCCCGTCATTTCTCTTCCGCCGCCCTCGCCACCACCACCACCACCGCCGCCGCCGCCGCCTGCTGCCCTCGCCACCTACCCGCCGCCTCCCACCTTCCGGCGCCGCCCGCTGGCTGCAGGCTGCGACCGAGGAGATTGCGCGGATGGCCATCATCACAACCATTGACCAGCCGTTCCACCCCGTCACCTACCGCAACGCGGCCATCAAGGCGACACCTCCGAGACGTTCCGACGCCCTCAGCGTCGACAGCCTTGCCCCGCCTCAAACCACCCACTCCCGCCCAACCTAGGCGGGGATCGTCGAGCTGCTGGTTGCGCTGCTCTCGCCCACCGCGGACGCGACGGCCGCTGCGCAGCGGAACGCGCTCGCCGCGCTCGAGGCCATTGCGACCGACGACCCCACCACCGACCTCGACAATGACCACGCGCGGTACGTCTGCGACGCGGGCGCCGTGCCGCACCGTAGATGCTCCCCCCACATGGACATGGCGCGTGACGAGGCACCGCGCCGCTGCCCCTCTTGGTGTGCTGCGCTGAACCCGCGTCGCACCCCTCTGCTCACCCCGAGGCGGCACCAGCTTGTTTACCGTGCGCGCCCTGTCTTTCCCCGCGCGCAGGTCCAGCACGTCGTGAGGCTGCTGTCGTCGCCGCAGGCGCCACACCCCTCCCGCCACACCCCTCCCGCCACACTCCTCCCGCGACACTCCTCCCCGCGGCACCTCCGAGGCGCACCTCCGAGGCACACACCTCCGAGACATACACCTCCGAGGCACGAGGCGCCGTCAATTGCCCGCCCTCGACGCTCCGCCGCCGCCCTCGACGCTCCGCCGCCCTCGACGCCGCCTCCAGCCGCCCTCGCCTCCGCCACTACCGCCCTCGCCTCCGCCGCTACCGCCCGCCCCTCCACCGGCCTCTTCTCCGTTGCGCCGCCGCAGGAGCAGCTGCAGGTGCAGTCGGCCGCGTGCGCTGCCATCCTTGCCGAGAGCGTGCCGTGCCAGACCGCGCTCAGCGCCGCAAAGGCGGAGGTTCCGCTGGTGCAGCTCGGCACGCGTCGCCTATGGGGCTGTGAACAGCGTCTCTTCACACCTCTCGCTGTGAACAGGTGCAGCTCGGCACGCGTCGCGTAGATGCGGTAGACGCGTCTCTCTCGGCGTCTCTTCACAGCCAAGCATCTAGGACCCCGGGGGGAGATACATTGGGCAACAGCAGCGGCAGCAACAGCAGCAACAGAGTAGCAGCAGCAGCAGCAGCAGCAGCGGCGGCGGCGGCAGTCAAAGGGTCAGTTTAGAGTCGCGTGCCTCCAGGAGGAGCTACGCAGCAGACGGTAGAGCTCCCTTCGCGCCCGGCCTGCTCCTTGGGGGGCTCGTGTCACAGTCCCGTCTCCAGAGTCCAGCCCCCCGTGGCAAGACTCTGGAGACATAGTCCAGTCCGCGCGCCGGGGAGGGCGGGCGGTGTGGGCGGCGCATGCCCATGCCTATCCGGACCTCGCAGGCACCTTCGGCAACGACGTGCGCGGCGCCCCTCTCGTCACTGCTCCCCCCACCCCATGCCCTGGTCTGCCGCCTTCCTCGCAGCCGCTCCCTCACGGACGCTGCCTTCGCGATTGCTCGCCTCACACCCCGCCACCGCCACGATCGCTCCCTCACCTGCCGCCACCGCTTCCGTCGCCGCGTCTGCCCTCGCCGACGCTCCCCCTCGCCGCCGCTGCCCTCGCCGCCGCTGCCCCTGCCCGCCCCTGATTTCGCCGCTTCTCTCTGGACACGACGCTGAACGATGGAGCAAATAGTGAAGCGTGCGGCATCCAGCACGTGCGCGTGTCCGTGGCGATTGCGCCGCCGCTCGCGCCACCTCCGCCACCTCCGCCGACGCTGCCGCCGTCGCCAGCTCTGCCCCCCCTGACGCTTGGCTACACCCACGTCGCCCACGACACTTGGCCCGGGGACCTCTGTCGGCTTGGACCTCTCTGCCCTCGGTCCCAGGTGGCCAAGCTGCATGCGCTCGCGGCGCTCGAGCAGATGGCGCTCCACATCCCGGGTTGGGCCCAATCGGGGATCGCCAAGTCCTCACCCTCCCTCACTCCTTGTTAGGCGCTCAACAACCCTCTTGTGCGGCGTCCTAGACACGGAGACTCGTGCCCCTGCATCTCTGGTTTGAGGCCCCGCCGCGCCAACACCCTGCACTCGGACCACATGGCCACCGCGCCCGCGCGCGGCGCGAGCTCAAGGGCACGCGGCCGCAGGTGTGCGTAGAACTCAGTCTCACAGCCCGTCTCGCTCCGGTCGTCACCGTGCAGGCGCGCGAGCGGATCGCCAAAGGCGGCGGACTCGAGATCGACCGAGATACCCCGAGATACCCCGAGATTACCCGAGGTTGCGGGTCGCCAAAGGCGGCGGACTTGAGATGCTCCACGGCGTGGGAGGGTTCGGCAGTGGCTCCGACCTTCGCGACGCGGCCGCCGACTTTGCACGCGGCCTCGAGGCGTCCGACGAGACTGTGCAGGTGGCATCCTAGCATGGGCCGGCCCACACATGTGCATGCATGCTGCGCACGAACCTTCCACGAACCTTTCGTAGGTTGCGGTCGACATCCGGTCCCACGCGCGGCGGGCGCACGAGACGCGGCTCAAGCACTCGAAGATCTTCCAGAACCATGTCGGCGTCGCCCGCTCCTACGCGACACCGTCCCCGAGGGGCGTCCCAGGGGACTCACGCGCCGAGTGCATCAAGTGGGCTCAGGCGCGCCAAGACAGCTCCGCCTCCCTCGCCCGGCTGGCGCCCTCTGCCAGCGGCCGCGCGCTCTTGCAAGCGAGACGTGATTGCTCGTCTGTACTCAGGAGGGCGAGTGTGAACGGAACCCTGGCTTCATGCTCGAGAATTGCGCGCGCTCTTGCGCCGGCCAGGGCTAGGGCGCAACAGGGCCGTTGATTGCCCGTGAATGTTGATCTCAGGACGTTCACCGACCGATAGCAGCTCTCAACCGGGTTCGCTTAACTATCGCTCAAAAGCCTCAACCGTTGGCTTCGCTGGTGGCTGCTTGCGCCGTCTATGCTTGAGCTTCGCTTGCTGGTTCCTTTGAATGAATAAACCGTTTTCAGCCAGAGAGTTTTACGGTATATACGCTTGGCGCACGAGCCCAGACCCCCCCGGCCTCGCCGCGCGCCCCGCGCACCAACGCGCAACGGCCGCGCCAGCCCGCCACGGGCCACGCTCCTCTGGCCGTGTCAGGCTGCGCCAGATGGGCTGCACGCTCTTGCGCGCGGGTCTTAACGACTTAGCCGTCGCACTCCGTCGCGCTCGCGTGCAGGGGGTCTTGCTTCCGCCCGCCGCGTCGATCTCTAGGTTACAGACCGCCGCCGATTACTGCGATCTCTTGCTTACTACTCAAAAGAGTATTCTATAGGGGGAGGGGCCATCCAAAACCCCGCGCCCCCCTCTACACACACACACACACACACACACACACACACACACACACACACACACACACACACACACACACACACACCACACACACCGCTCAGCGCGCTCACCCACACGCGCACCGGGCCTTGCACTTTTAATGCCGTGGGGCTCCTGTCGCGTCTAGACGTGGAGTTGCGAGATGCGAGGGAAGCCGCCCCTTGCCCCACCACCTTGTCGCTTGTGTGTGCGCGCGTGGTATAGGGAGAGAAGTTTTTACCTTACGCTCTACCCTCCTTACCTTATCCCAAAACTAGTGAGACACGCACGGGTGTCGGTGTGGTAGCGAGTGAGCCGCGCGCGCGCGCAGCGCGGCGCGGCTCGGTGGGAGTCGTGATTTGTCGCACAAGGGATTCGATCTAAATTTTTTTCGCGCTCCTGACCACCAACCGTCCACCCCGTCGGGAGGACGACCCCGGCTAGTCGCCGACCACACCCACAAAGAACCCTGCACAAAGGTCGCACGGGCGGGGACCTGTTCCTTTTTACACATCTCCCTTTTTACCCGTCTCAAAGTAGAGGTGTCCTTTTATTTATTTATTTACCAACCGTCCAACCTGTTGCGACCAGGTATTATTACTGTCAGTAAGGTGCTTATTTGTCTCAGAAGTCCAAGGAAAGAAAAAAGAAGTCTCATATAACGATTATCGTATAAAAACATACATCCCAACTTCCTCAAAAAATATAGCCCCGGGGGAGCAAACGGGCGCGGAGTACGCCTTTCACGACAGAAGAGGGAGTGAGGGAGAGGGGAGAGAGAGAGAGGGAAGAGGAAGGGAGCACAGATTTATGAGCGCGCCGTAATTATAAGTTGTCATCGCGATTGTCATCGCGAATCGTCGTCGTATACTAGCCCATTGCCGGCAAACAAGCGAGGGCGAGCGCGCTGCATTGGCCGGGCATATTGGGGCAACGGAGATATGGGAGGCAGCCCTGGGGGTGGTGGTGCAGGCGGGGGTAGCGGTGGAGGAGACGGCGGGGGTGGCGACGGAAGTGGCGTTATGGGCGGTGGTGGCGATGGGGGCGGGGGTGAGGGTGGCGACGGGTTCGCTGGCGGCGCTGGTGGTGGCAGTGGAGGCGGCGAGGGTGGCGGCGGTGACGGCTGCGGGGCGATCGGAGGCGGCGGCGATGGTGGTGGCGGCGATGGTGGTGGCGGCAACGGCGGCGGCGACGGAGATGGGATTGAGGGCAACGACGGTAGCGGAGGCGGCGGCTGCAGAGGTGGAGGTGAGGGTGGCGGCGGTGAGGGCAGCGGGGCGATCGGCGGCGGCGGTGAGGGCGGTGGTGGTGAAGGCGGCGGCGGCGAGGGCGGCGGCGAGGGCGGCGGCAACGAGGGAGGTGTCGGTAAGCTAGGAGGCTGTGGTGGCGGCGAGGGCGGCGGGGGCGAAGGTGATGGAGCCTCAGGTGGAGGTGGCGAGGGTGGCGGGGGCGAAGGCTGTGGGTGTGACGGCGGGAGGAACGGAAACGGCGGCGATGGCGGCGGCGGCGATGGTGAGGGAGCCTCAGGTGGCTGTGGCGATGGTGGAGGCGACGACGGAGATGAAATAGAAGGAGGTGTTGATGGCGGTGACGCTGGTGGGGGCGTCGAGGGCGGCGACGACGGGGGCGGCGAGGGTGGTGACGAGGGCGACGGCGGCGACGGTCCCGACGACGGCGGCGGCGACGACGGTGGCGGCGAGGGCGGCGGCGGCGAGGGCGGCGGCGACGGGGGCGGCGCGGCTGGAGGCGAGGGCGAGAGCGGCGGCATGCCGGACGGCGGCGGAGGCGAGGGTGGCGGCGGTGATGGCGGCGGCGGCGAGGGTGGTGCCGTTGGTGTAGGCACTGTCGGCGGGGGCGGAGAGGGCGGCGGCGG